AGAAGTACTTTAAGAGACCACAAAAATCAAGCCCAGCTTAACACTGGTTTCAATTTCAACTACTAAAAACTGAGTAAAAGTCAAATACAGTTTGTAGAAGAAATGTTGGCAATGAATCTCAGCATATCTATGTATAATTAATCCCTGGTGATTAATTATTGAGATATGTTGGAACTGTTGGTTGTATCTAACTCTAGTATGGTTTTAGCTTTCACTTAGATTTAAGATTAACAGTCAAGTATTAAACATAACTTAAAACCCTCCTTTGGTCACAAGACACTGAGGTAAGTCCACTCAGACAACCTAGCTTTGTGTCACCTGTTTTTCCTTCCATTCTCTTCTCTCCATTGTATGGGTGCAGCCTCCCCATTCTTCTGGCTGCTAGTGGCTAGAAGGTATTTGTTAAAGACAGTACTTCTCCTGAGTATCCAGCCTAAATTTTTATAAACGCTTTTACCCCATGTTTCCTTTCTCACCAGAGAACTTCCCCAACTCATTCATTATACTAATAACTTTATGTTGTTTTATTACTTAAAGTAACAACATCCTTTCAGCTCCTGCAGATTCTAACAAATCTTTTAAGCATAAACTATTAAGTGTCTGTATCAAGGCCAGTTCCTTTTACCAACGAGTATCCAAAAGCTTTATGTTTAGGAATCCTTCTGGCTTTCATGAAAGCAATTTACTTTAAAATCTACATTGAAATTAGAGTTGATTAATAAAAGTAGAAAAGCAGATGTCAGTCAAGTTGGGGGAGTTCAGCAAAAACTGCTGATAACACACTTTTTAATTACTGGCAGAAGAGAACATCATGTTTGTCTTCTTCCTTTCCTCTCCTCAGCTTCTCTACATAAGAATCCTGGCTCCAGCGCTCCAGCTTGGCTGCCATTTTCTACTACATTTGCATTCTTTCCACTTCATTGCTAGTTTGGGCATTTGGGGATCCAGCAGGGAAGCTTCCTTTTAAAGTAGGCATTCATTGTATCTTTATTGTTATGTGATGTTCTTCATTTCCCGGAATAATGCTGTTAGAATAAAGCAAATGAACTAAATGACTCTATACCAAACATATAATCTTCCTTCTAGAGTGAAACTAAGCAGATTATGTTTGGTAGGTGCACATACAATTACCATGTCAGAGGATATTTGAACCCACTGGGTAAATATAGTTATCAACACCTTAGAAACATGGAACATTTGAACAAAAATATCATTTTCTAGTAAAGCAGACTTGACTACTAAAGCTAGAAGGAAAATAAAAATTCAAGAGGATTTTTAATATAGACTTATCATTGTTAGCAGATCTGTTACTTTTAATTTGCAGAACTGTGGAGATGCTCTTAGTGTATATTCACCTTATCTGTTTGTATGACCAACTGGGGGAAAACTGACAAAGCGCTTCACTAGACTCCTCGTCACTAGGAATGAGCAGGTCTTTTGCACTGAGTTTTTAATTTAAGCCTCACAGTTTATGTTTGTTGTTTGTTGTTTCATCAACACTGCCTAAGGGCATGATTCCAATGGATGCTGAGAAAGGGCCTAATTATTTCTCTCTTTGTTCATATTTATTGTCTTTATCAAACAACCTTCATATATTCAGTTCTGACTGAGGTATGTTATTTTGTTGATTAGCATAATTTGTGAACTCTCTGAAGTAAAGAAAAACTGAAGTAAAAGAAAGTCATAAACTAATTTCCAATTAAACCAGAAATAATTCACAGAGTATGTAAAAAACAAACAAACCACACTGGTGACCTTGAAAGAGAATAACATTCAAAACATATCATAAAAAGAGGCAGCACATTAAAATGGTAAGGGAATGTGGATGCTGAGCAGAGAAACAGAGTGTGAGCTCACTCTGTGAAGAAAAATGGAAGAAAACTAGCATTAAGCACATATCTTCAGTTTCTTCTGGCTTTCACCAATCATATGTGTCAACTTGTTTATTTTCCACAATACTTATGTAGAATATGCCCTCCCCATATGGGACAATGAGGTCCCAAAATTACAGCAAAGTTCAATTTGTCTCTGAAGTCCCTTGTAGTGAGAAATGCACTGCTCATCTGTGAAGGGAAGCAGATTGGAGAGCTGGACTGACATGTGTAGTTCACTACCCACCTCTCCTCTGTTTCTGTCTAGCATTAGCGGAGCAAACCATGCACTTGGTACTTGTAGTATGCTCTTCTTGCCTGATCATCTTTCTCAAAGCAGTTGATCAGCTCTGTAAAGCCAGGACCCCTCTAGACATGTTGTTTCCTGTAGACTTTTTTTAGTTGAACTTTGGTAAATATCCATTGTCTTATCTACTTTTTATGTTCAATATTATAGAATTAAAAAGGAAAATCCTTTGTTTGAAGCCACAATATAAGTTAAGTGCCTTTGTTATCATCATCTGATTTTAGATCAAGAAACCAAGAAATCCAGAGCTAGGTTAGATCCCTCAAATTAACAACTGATAAAAAAGAAGCTGAGGCAGCATGTTGACTGGAGTTGCCACTTCTGCCATCACAATCCTAACCCTTTAACACTCCCTTAACTTTGATCCTCTCCTTGAAGTTCTCTCATTTCCTTTCCATAACCACTTTCTAACATCTCCTGGATGGCCTTCATCAAACACCTGTCTCAGAATTCTCCCCGCTTTTCTTGTTTCTCTGCTTCATTTTCATGATTCCTTTTTTATATATATTATCAGATGTAGTAAGAAGGCGCTTGTTCACTTCCAGCTGCCCAGACACAAAATAACCACACAGAAACTGTTTTAATTAAATCACTGCTTGGCCTATTAGCTCTAGCTTCTTATTGACTAACTCTTACATCTTAATTTAACCCATTTCCATTCATCTGTATATTGCCACGTGGCTGTGGTTTACTGGCAATATTACAGCCAGTGGCTTGCATCTTTCCCCTTTGGCAGCTCCATGGGATCTCCTTAACTCTGCCTTCTTTCTCCCACAATTCAGTTTAGTCTGTTCTCCCCCCTCCACCACCTAACTCTACTCTACTCTATCACAGGCCAAGCCAGCTTCTTTATTTATTAACCAATAAAAGCAGCACTTATACAGGACTTCCCACACCAATCAGAGTCTTCAGGAGGAAAGAGCAGATGCATCTAGCTGAAATTTTACAATAATTTAATGGAGAGACCTATAGGCAAAAGTAAAGTAGCTAACAGCAAGTGAGGCAGATGCGCAGAACCAAGTGTAATGATACCTCTCCCAAAGCATGAACACACTAAGGGAGGAAAATAGGAGCACAGGACTTTAAGTGTCAACAATTCAGCTTTCAGACCATTTTAGTAGCTATCGATGCAGATCAGCTTAATGTATCACACCATAGCATAGATTCAGTTCAGGAAAAACTGTAGAAGCAAAAGGTTCAAAAAGCTCAAGTGTACCTGATACAAGAGACACCCCAAGAAGGACTGGAAAGATGTTCCACTCTTCCTCCTCCAAGCTATACAAGCAACTAGTCTCTAGTTCTTCCTAATCCCTGGTCAGCAGAAAAATAAGACCAGCAAATTTAGAACAATTTCTTGCTAGAAAGCAAGATTTCTATCTCACAATTTTTTTTAAACATTTAGGCTGTTTTACCGATTTGAATTAGCTTTTAATTATCCAGTTCCTATGGGCTTTCTTCCTGGATCTCAAGCTTTCCACACTGCAAGGATATTTTGGGAGTCATCAAGCACGTGGCAGTGAAACTGGCTTTGAGCCTATGACATTGCAAAGGACAGGGCCACAAAGGGGCTATGACAATGGATGCCCCATGTTTCTATGTTAATAGACAGTGTTCTCTGAATTCTTCTCCCAAGAGATCTGCTAAAGCACAAATCAAATTAACTGCATTTCATCTCTTGAGTACAATATAAACTCTGAAAGGGCAGCAATACAGGATCTATTTTTCTTCTGCCTCACTAAACGCTTCCTTTCCGTCACCAGGAACAAACCACCCTCAAGCACAAAGAATACTGGATATAAAAAGAGTGAGACAACTATTGGAAAGTCTTTCTAAAGCGTGTGTGTGTGTGTGTGTGTGTGTGTGTGTGTGTTTCTCTTTGCACATTGTGAAAATTTTGGCACATTTTAAGCAATCACTTTTGCTTCGATTGGTATTAGAAAATTTTTTATCACAAGGTATCAGCTAAACAGCCAAATTTATGTGCAGGATTTTCTTGGGGTATATTTTGTGTAAGAATCAACTTTTAGTCACTTTTGCTAGCATCGAAGCAGATTACCTTGGTAAACCAAGATATTCATCAGTTAAAGGGACTCACTAAGTTCCTGGGAGAAACTAGAATCCCTAATCTATTACTGTAAAATCATTTTGGTAATTGGTTATTACTGATGAGGGTAAAATCCAAAGTGTCTGTTCCCAGATGCTTTAAAGAAAGCATTTCATTAGTTTTCTTTCTTTCTTTTTCCATTTTTAAAAATTGAATATAAGATATAAGGGAAGGTTAAAAAAAAAAGAACAGGCTTTCTGTAAGAAGTACCTTTTTAGGGAAAGGATTTCTGCTCTCATTTCAAAGGTTGGAGAGGGGAATGTTTATATTAGCCTAGCTCTCTGGATGTCCATAATTCTAGGAAAGAAGTAGTTGGGAAAAATACTGATTCCTGGATATTTTCTTATCTCATCAAGATCAAGAAAATAAAGCCTGACATGGTGGCACAGACTGTAATTAAAGCTAATTCGGAGGCTGAAGAAGGAGGATCAGAACTTCACGATCTGCCTTGGCAGCTTACTCAGTACCGTAAAGTAAAAAAGAGAGCTAGGTTAAATACTTTGACTAGCATATGAGAGGCCCTATATTTAATTCCCAGTACTGAGTTTAAAAAAAAAAAAAAGAATCTGGATACCAAAGCCTAGATTCTTGCAATTCTTCTTATAAGCTTGATGTAGGTTTGAAGTCTTCGGTTAGATTTGTTTGTTCTGTTTTCTACAGATACCGTTTCCTTATTCCGATGTGTTTCTTAGAACAGCTTTCCTTTCCTCCTCTCCAGGTCATGGGTTTGGCTCATCAAAGATGTCCAGGGCACAGACATTTCCAAGTTATGCTGCAGAACAGAGTGAAGAGGCTCAGCCACCGTTGTCTCGGTCCAGCAGCTATGGATTCAGCTATAGCTCCAGCCTGATTCAGTGACATACAGAGGCCACCACTGACCAGCAAAACAGTCTGCCCTGGACCTTCCATGGGGTCATTTCACCCTGTGTATCCTGGAAGATCAATTGTGGTACAAATTAACATTGGTAGGGCCTAGTCCCAACTGAAAGGTTAAAAACTGGAGTTCTGCTTCCTTGATTCAGTGGTTAAGTCCTTTATTTATTGAATTTCTATGGGGGAAATCTATGTTTTACAAAAAATTCCAATAATATGAACAATCATTTCAATAAGAAAAATTCTTTGTGTCTGACTGTAGCAGAAGCCTTGGCACTGGGAAATTTGCCCAATCTAGTTTGTGCCTGGTTGGGGTCACCAACATTTGTCCTTAAGACTGTTTGCTCCTGTTTCGACACAGGTCCTGTCTTTAAACACAATAATGACCCACTCTAAGCTCTGTGGCTTTTTCAATTTTGACAGAAACAAATCATGTAATCGTTACTTATGGCATCATAACTCTCCATGTAAAGAAGCCCAGTGACAATTAAGAGGCTGTTAAATTAGAATATTCTATTAAGAAGGACCCTGTAGCTCGAGTGTGTGTGTGTGTGGGTGTGGTGGGGGGAGATGTCTGTATGTCTATGTGTCTGTGTGTCTGTGTATGTAGGATATTACTATATTCATCTACAGATTAGGATATATCAAATGTGCTAAGGGTGACAGGATATGCTCACTTAAATTATTGAAAACTAATTTGTCACATTAAAATTATGTTGAATAGCTGTTTTTAAATTAGTGCTGTTAGAAAATGAAAAAGACCCCCTGTTAACAACAGTAAGTAGCCCACTCTGATCCTATGAGGATTATGAGCAGAAACACAAGAAGGAAGCATTTTGGAAACAAGATTACCAGCCCAGCTGCCCTGCGTGTCCGTTATGCTCTCTGTCTGGTTGATGTTGCCTTGTCATTGACTGTTTCTTCCATCTGAGCTACTTGAGAAATTGGTGTAATCCCCAACTCCAAAATGTTTGAGAAAGACACAAAGCTACACTGAAAATGAACTCAGCTATCTTGCAGTTAAAAGAAGAACAAATGATACATGAAAGTAGATGTTTTAAGTTTCACAGAGGAATTTTTGCATGGGTCATCAGGGGCTTGGCATTTGCTATGGAATCAGAACTTGCATGGCTTGAATTTTTCTTGCCCTGAGCTCGATTGGTTGGGATGGAAAGAGAAAATGTTTGGCTTGCAATTTTTTTTTTCAGTTCTACAACATGAGAATGTCCAAGTTTGGAGGGAAACGGAAAATTCCTCTCAAAGAGAGAAAGTTTGGCTAGTTCAGGTCAACATAGACATATTTTGACCATAATTTAGTGAGTGAAAATATAAATTACTCTGTCTGACTCACCTGGTATCAGGTGCCTAAACCAGATATCTGTCAGGGAATACAGATCAGATTCCTGAACAGAAGGTCAAGGTCAAGCAAGAGGAAAACCTGACTTTTTGTTTGATAGCAAAATGTTCTACCGAACTTAATCTATTAAAGGGTACCTTTTTGCTGATCCCTCTTAAGATTTCATTCATCCTGAGCCAGGCAGTAGTGGCACATGCCTTTAATCCCTTCACTTGGGAGGCAAAGGCAGGCGAATCTCTGTGAGTTCTAGGCCAGCCTGGTCTACAAGTGCTAGATCCAGGATGGGCTCCAAAGCTACAGAGAAACCCTATCTCAAAAAAAACAAAACAAAAAAAAATACATTTCATTCACCCTGATCCATAGCTTGTGAGCAGATTGAGAACTCCTTTCAGTGAATTACTACTGAGTCTGCTGAGTAAAGTGGTTGTGCATTCCTTCTTGATAAGTGTGCACTTACTGCAACTACCTACGCTCCCCAAATCACTCAGATAGGTATGAAAACCTCATAAAGAGACTAATCATAAGAGTTAATGTTGCCATGAAAAATAATTATCGTAAGCCTTCAGGGATAAAAAGAAAATTACCCAAACTCTACACTGATAATTTTGCTGACACAGCAGAAGAGCACATGACTGAGTCCTTCTGAGGAGAGACAAGGCAGCCTTCCCTGGAATCCAACATTTCAGGGTTCATGCCTCTAAGTTTCTTTAACACACGGCATCTTCTGTAGACATGCCATTAGTAAATATATCAGAGCAACTCTGAGCTGAGACTCTTAGAGCACAGTTCCTAGTGTGGCCATTGGAGCAAGCCTTGCCCTGGCTCACTGAGTTGAGCTGTTGCTTAGAGACCACGAGTTTCTTCAAGGGACTTATGGGGAAAGGTCCTGAGGGGCCTTGATTCACATCTCAGCTTTATCAATGTGCCAGAAGCACAGATAGCAAGTCCGGTGGGATTCTGCTAATTACGAGTCTGCTCTTGTGTTTCTCTGGTGGGTGACAAGTACCCGCATAAAGTAGCTTCACCATTTGGTTACTAACAATGAGTATCAATGAGAAGGAACCAAAAATCATGTATACGTTTAGATCATTTTTTTCTGAAAATAAAGTCACAAAAAAAGTGTGTGAGAGAGGTACCTTCTTAGGCTTTAACATAATCTCATCATATTGAGAATAATACTGTAAAAATATTTCATGATACATTTTTAGGAGCTTTATTCTAGCATAATCCTCTGAGTACATTTAAAACTTTAGCTAAGTCAAAACTGCTAAGAAAGCAGCAAGAGAATTTATAGTACCCTAATATTCTTAACATGAGGCAGTGTTCATTGTAATAAAAGAGACAAACAGATGAACCTATAAAAACCAAAGATGGAAAGATATTTTTGACAGTCTCCTGGAGCCTCATAAAACCATTCCACCACAATTACAAGAATGGCTATGGGCATATCTTAGCCCACCAGAGCCTGTAGGTTCTTGATTGAAGACGCCTGTATACTTTGCAAACTATTCTCCCTTCAGAAATTGTATTATACCCTAAATGTACTTGTGACTTTCTTATTGTGAGGGAGAGACTGCTATGCACCAAAGAAATCTTTTGGCCTTTTTTGAGTATGACTCAGTTGGGCTTCCACTCAGATTTATACAGAGTGATAAGGTTACTATACCTATACCAAGTTGTTAGAGACCAGTGAAGAGGAAGGCTGACAGGCATGATAAAGTCTCTTCTAGAAGCAAACCAAACCTGAAGGTATACATGTTTCACTTAAATATTTTATGAGAGCTGGTTTTTCTACCCTAGTGTTTTTCTTCTGATAATATACATACAACCTGTAACACATACTTATCATTGTGTTAAATATGCAGAGTAAACAACCTTGGTCCACTATTTTTACAATTCTGGTGTCATGGGGGTTTGTACAAAACCACATTTTTCACCAAGTGACTGAATTAAAAATAGGCACTCAGTAATAATATACTTAGACCAGTTGGAAATAGTTTTGAATCAGTAGCTTCTGGCCACTGCCATAATTTGAAATTAATAAAATATAAAATAGATATCTAGAGTGAGCCTTTGCTGGTTCAGAATTAAACCATTGTTTCATATATTAGGTAATATGTTGTTTGATAGAGCATGTGAAAAGAAGAGAAGCATATTTATTAGGACTAAACCTTTCCTTGTTCTAGTATCTAGACTACTAGTACCAGTGTGTAGTTCTTTTGACTTCACTGGGATATTTTGTTTGAAAATCATTCATCCTCCTTATAAAATGACCAGCCATTCATATCTCTCATCTGACATAGAAGCAGTGGGGTAACCAGTACCTTCACACTGTTAGCTGTAGACTTTACAATCCTATTTATTGCATGTGGTATCCTTGTAGTGGATATTAAAAATACATCACAAAGACCAATGTCTAACCCTCATTCTTTGACCAAAATCTCACAAAATATTGCTTTGAAGAAAGCATGAATAATTTGTTTCTTTGATTACTGGAACCACTTACAAATTAGCCAATAGTGCTACAGTGAAAACAAGCTAAGGAAACTACACTATTGTAAAAAATTGTAGTCCAGTCTTGACTATTCTAACACACCACTATAAATGGGCAATATTCATTCAGTGGTCCTGAGGTTTAGGCCTTTATTTTTTCATGTCTTATAAAGTACAAATATAATGTTAATGACTGCTTCAAATCTATTAATGTGTCTATCAAAATAGTGCAATGACAACGTATTTTTTATAATTATTAGTTACATAATCTTTGGACAATCACCTTCTCAAAAAATAGACCCAGAAAAGTGTCATTTGTGATATACTATACAAATTAATGTCAAGCCTATGAAATTTATAATGTTTTCATAGGCTATAAAATTTATTAAAATTCCCCATGGAAGAAATAAAGTCAAAGGGAAATGATCAATCAGTAGGATAATTTGAGCAAAATGATAAAGAATCCATTGTCACAACCTGCATAACTCTTGAACCCTACTTTTCCAAGATTCTAACTTCATACTTTGTGGTATGGATTTTGCTTTCTACACTGCTTGCTATTCATCTAGTATTATATGCAACTTAAAAATACACAGTCACATTATGTCTTGACATAAGCATAGAAAGCACAGTACCAACTTCAGCTTTCAGTTTGTGAAAAAAAAAATTAACACAAAAGAAGCTATGTAAGCTACAGTTTTAGCAATGCAGGAATTGCGTTCTGAAAGCAATCTCTTGGGAATTTCACCATATTGTTGTGTTATCCGTGAGAATGGCTGGTTGTTCAGTGTGTGATGAGAAACACATATCACCATATCTGCATACTCTGTAGATGGATTAGAAAGATCCTTTGTGTGTGTGTATTTATCACAAGCCACATTTTCTTACTCAACAATATAAACCTTGAAACTTTTCTACAATCATTCTCAAAGAAAAAGGCTTAAATAGTTGAACAAGTTTTTGCAAGAATCCTGAGAAAGAAACCAGGCATTTTTTTAGATAGGCTTTAAGCAGTATCAGCAATTTAAAGGTCATACAGAGTGAAGGATTTGCTTTATGTTCCCCTGGAAGAAAACTGAAACCTGTGGGTGTTGTAATTTGTTCAGAGGCAATAGACAGCTGGGGATGGTTTTCTCCTGTTTCAGACCGTGACTGTCCCCTGGCTCCACCCATCTCTCAGCAGAACGTGTTGGAAACTGGAGAAGAGCATGTGGCCTCAGAATACTTAAGCCTTTGTATGTTGAAGTGCT